TCATGGAGTCCAGCAAAGGTGATTTAAAACCCCTTGCACGCTACTGACAAACTGCAGAGATAGTGGGTGTCTGCCACCCGATCTGGCCAGCTATCCCATCAACATGAGCCAGTTCGGACTGGCCAGAGGAAACTGTCTTCTCTCCCAAATAAGCACACAGTGATTAAAGAAGACTGCATTGCCTTCTCGTACTCAAAAAGTTAAAATACAGGAATTCTCTGAAGGGAGAAGAATCTGAAGATTTATAAGAGAATGGCTACTGAAAGCTCCATTAGGACCTTCTCTAAACTATTCCCGTTCAAGTGGAGAGGCAAATAGCCCCCACTGGCATTTATATTTAGAATGGGCTGGGAGAGAGGAAGAGCACATTTTGCACACTGAAGGTCTCTGACATACCCATACATAAATCATTTCAGGGTGAGGTGTCACATCTTCTGCTCTGCCCTTTAAATGGATTGGACCCCAACATCACATCCTCCTCAGGGTAGGGAGTGGGGGTGGGAGTTTCATGGAGAACAAAGAAGTCACCACTTCCTTTATCCCCCCAACTAAAGACAGATGTAGTAAAAACATCTGCGTTGTAACATTCACTCACTTCAAAATACCAAACTACAAACAGGTAGACTGAGTGATAATGTTTGAGAATCCCTAAATCTACACAAAGATGTATCTATTAAAAAGAACATGGAAATTAAAATTAAAAAGAACATGGAAAGGCCAACTGTGTGATAGATGGCATTCACATGTGCTTTCATTTGTAAAGCTACATTTATTGAGTGACTGCATCCTTATTTAGAAAATCTGGAGAACAGGGGCAGTTCTGATTTTTTTTTCATCTATCAAGTCACTGTTTCAAATTTAAAAAAAAAAAATAGAGTTATGGTAACTAAAGAGCACACAAATCACATACAAAAAAGAAAAAAAAAAGCCAGCTATTTTATCCTTTCAGTGTGGTTAGCAAGGCTCCTTTGTGTCTACAAATTTCCCTGGGTGGTGCTGTTGCCAAGAAATTCTAATTCATGACAAGGTTTTCTGCAAATTGGGGACAGAGGCAAACCTGCGGATGCAGGGACCCTACAGTTTGCTTTGTCTTTCTGGCTGAGACAGCACCAGGCTGCTCGGGCCTCTAGAAGGCAGTGCAAAGGCAAGATCCCAACATAGGAGAAGCGATGTAGCTCACAGATCAAATCCCATCCCTTGCACCATGAGGCTGTTCTTGGCAGGCAACCATTTTTGTAAGTTGTCCCCTAGAGATGCTTCATACCAAAGGCCCTTGTAAAAAGTGTTTCAGGGTGCCTGAAACCAAGATGAAATTGCAGTGTTATGGGGACGCTGTAGTTCTTACAGTAGCCAAGTATGCCATTAGTTTAAAACAATGGGGGAATGGGGGAGGAGGGAGGAATGTTCTATGATTTATTTATTTGTTTCCAGTAGCAGTGGAAAATTTTCTCTGAGCAAAAAGGAGGCCTGAAACTGACCCCATCTGCCAATTATGAATCCGCATTAACAACAAGCATAATTCCATAAGAGTTTTCAAGTAAACATACCATGCTCCTCAATGGCATGAAGCAAAGCTAAGTGCAAATAAGACTTAGAACATCATTACTTGACCTGCACTCATGAAATAGCAGTCTAGGTATAAAGAATATATCCAAATTCTAAAAGTCTTTGTAGCTTCCCAAAGAAAAATAACCATCAGTATTGTACCAAATCCTCTTTTATTTTCCAAGTCAGCAGTGGGTCCAGAAAAATCATGATTTCTAATGGCAACAAAACTCATGAATGGGTCCCCCTTTATCCATCATCAAGTGGTACCCTATACGCTACTCTTAGTTTCTGTCCTACCTTTGACTTTTTCCTACTTTTCCTCAGACAGCTCTTGGAAATTTTCCTGCAAGTTTCCAAAGAGCTTAAGGCTGGTAGCCTTAAGAGTTGTGCGTCAGCTGAATTCCATAAAATAATAGACCACATAAGCACAGTGTAATTTACAGTTATATGACAGGCAGGGATGATGTTACTTGGGCCAAATGCTTAAGTATGCAGTCAGAGCCCAGGAATGGAGAGCTGTTAATGTAGGATGTCCATCTGGATTTAAAAACTACACCAACAATGGTTTTCATAGTTGGAACTGTATGAGGCTAAGACAATATTGCCCAAAAACCCAATGTCAAAATGACGACCCCTGTGACAGGAGGGCCATGACAAGCTCACTGACTATTAAGCAGAACAATTATCCCAGACTTGAGTTTAAAATAAAAACTCCAAAGAGTCCATCCTTAATTTTCAAATGCACAGATGGTCTTGAGTTTATCATCAAGCCACTCTGTTTCTTACGAACCAAATCAGACTACTGGAATCTCTGGACTTCGCTCATCTCCTCAAGGTACACCGTTCACTTTCAGGAGTACATCTAATAACTGCTCCTCATTTGACCTCTAAAATCTGATTACCCCAGAGCATCAGGAAACTTCCTCCTGCCTGGGGTTCTTTGTAGCAACCTTCTTGAGCTGATTTGAGCACAGGAACCTTAAAATTTCACCATGTGATGGTTGATTTAGAACCAACAGTTGCATATAACCACACTCCCCTCCTTTATACTCAGAAGAGGCAAGAGGGAGGGGGCAGGTAGAGGGAGGAAGGAAGAGACAGAGGTTGGAGGTTATGTCATCAGCATGAACTGGGAGGCACAGTCACCTTTACAGAAAGCATTTGTGACTACAGAGCCCACAGAAGAAAGCTCCTTGGAACGATATCTCATTTAGGACCGTGTCCTCACAAGTTATGTTTCAGTATGGATTACGAGCATGCCTCTGAAAGAGCTTGGCAAAGGGTTTTAAGCTGAGGGCAGTTGGCAGTAGGAGAGGATTAACGCAAGAAATACGGGGGTGAAAATTTATTTGCCCACAGATACAAACTAAGCTAGAGATGCCCTGAAGGAGGTGAGATGAAGGATGAGGTGGGTGGGAAGCGGAGAAGGCTTCTAAGGAAACAAAAGATCCAGTACATCCTCTAATTATCAAACCAATGATGTTTCTTTACAGATCTAGACCTTCTCAAGGATGCTCTAACCAGATCTAGAAAAGCAGGTTTCCTCTGGAGAGGCCTTCCCCCAAAGCAGGCTTTACTACTGTGAAATCTTGAACCAAACAAAGTTGTGTGATTCATCAGGAGGGAACGTTGTAACAAATAAAGCCAACTTTCTTCCCTCCAACCCTGCTTAACAGTTAGTCACAAACAAGGGCTGCCTTGGGCAGGCTGACTAAATCAACAGATTCTCTTCCCTAACCTGTCTAGACAGTTGTTAATAGGCAACCGATTCAACACCAGTGGGCTGACAGTGTGAAATGAAGACTATTTCAGAAAATGAAATTCTGGCAACCTTTTGGTTTAATTAGCATGTGAAATAAAAGCAGGAAAAAGCTCTAGTGAGACCCTTCGTGAGATAGTCTCATCAAGGATGGGGGAAAGGATGCACTGGAGAAATGCCTTCTGCTAGAAACATGTGAGCTGTGCGTGCATTTAGGGAAAGACAAAGTCAAACACATCTGCCAGCATCCTTGGGCAGGAATGTATGTGTGGAAGCACAGACACCAGAGGCCAGTACCTGGAGAAACTCCAGCCTCGAAATCAGGGGAGAACAGCAACTAGCAACAATGGTACACAGGATAGGCTCCTTATACCACAAGCCAAACCTCACTCGCTAAAGCAGCAACTGTTACATCCCAGGCTCAAACTGGCAAATCCCGCTTTGTATCCTGTCGGAGGAAATTCAGCCGTTCATTAGCCTTAACAAGCTGCTGTCACGGAGCAGAGAAGTTACATGAGCAGCCACACACCAAGCCTCCTGCCGCCCGCCCCAAGGGCAAGCACGTTTCTCCCAGACGGATTGTGCACGTTCACACTTCCAATGTGCAAATCCGAACTGTCTTCTTGCACGTTCCATGATGCACACTGCAGAATTCTGAAAGAATGTTCGCGTCCCTCCATCCCCACCCACCATCTTTCCTGCAGAATGTCCCCTCAGCAGCTCCTAATCCTTACTGAGAAAACCACTGTTTCCGCAGCAGATCTCGCACTTTCCACTAACCAGCACTTTCTTTATTCCACTTCACAAAGCCCAGTGAACTTGTCACCAGCCCCGCTTCCCCCTCACTGGGACGCCTAGCCAACTTGGCATCGGTGCCCTTCAGCATCTTAGGAGTTTCTTGACTAGTCCTCTAAAACAAAGTCAGAGGCATGGAAGCACACACCACCCTTTGTCGGAGGTTGTGCTAAGTGGAGAGGCACACCAAACGAAAGAGAAGCAAGGACACCCACAGACGGTGTTCTCCTTCCGAAGACACCGCACTGGGGAAACCTACAATGCACGGTCAGCATGAGATAGACACATCTTCCCATCCTCTTCCGAGATATCTTTGAGTATCCTTTATCACTGGGCTCCTCTTCCTTCTGCCCAGCTTCTAATCTCAAAATCAAGTTCCTATTCTTTACTGATACTCGCTAATTACTAGGAAAACACTCCGCTTTGCTCCTACCCCCTCCCCCCCATCTGACGGTCTTTAGCACCAGTTGAAAGAGATGAACCTGATTTAAGGTACCAAGGAGGTAGAGCTCGTGCATGTAGGGACGCGGTACCTGTCTGTGATGGCTCGTAAAGCCCCAAACCACCTTCCCACCCGGCTCCTCCGAACCCCAGAAGTTAGGCAGGTCTCTGCTGGGGGGCAGTGAGCCGCACAACGTGTGCGCAAGGATGTGTGTTGGTGACTGAAACGCAGGCAGCTCCGACCGGCCGCTCAGCTCAGCACACTAAGGGGTTAGGGGGTGGGTGGAGAGGTAAGCAGATGACTGTTTCCGAAAACATTTTAAACAACAGACAGCCAAAAAGGGGGGGGGGAATTAAACAAACGAACAAACAAAATTCAACCCCAAGCCCACACCAACGCAGCCCCTGCGTCTCCGCCGCCACCACACGATTTACACAAGTAATTTAAATCATTCACCTGCTGCCAGGTCTCCTCCAGGGATGGCAAAGCTGAGAAGTAGCCGGTGTCGTGGACAAGTTGTAGCTCCTGGAATATACTATAACTAGCCAACACGTCCATGCTGCTGCTGCCGGGCAAAACGGGAGGAGAAACCCTCCCCCGAACACAGTTGGGTCTGTTTGTTTGTCAGTCTGTCTGGCTCACCCCCCAAGGAGGCAGACATCCAGTGGCCCTTTTGTTTTGTTTTGTTTCAGTCAACTAAAAAGGAAAAAAAAAAAAAAATCAATGCAGAAGAGAGGGAGAGAGGAGGTGAGAGAGGAGAGACTGAGTGGGGTGGATGGAGAGAGGCATCCAGCGTGTACAGTGCAGACGGCTGCCAGGAAAAGGGGACTTCACGGGAGTAACAATTCCCTTCCAGGGCTCTAATCACTCCAGCTCGTGGATCAGGAAGGGGGATGCAAACTCACTGACACGAAGCTGCCATCTATTTCTGCAGCGCTGTTCGCTCCTAATGCAATCTTTGCTCTTTATTTTGGGAGGTGGCATTTTTTTTTTCTCGCGATCGCTTCTCTCCCCCTCTTTCCTTCCCTCCCCACCCCCACCCCCATCCTTGCTAGTTTGTAGTCTCTCCCCCCCCTCCTCCTTTTCTCCTCCTCCTGCTCTTCCCCCTCCCCAAACTCCCTCCCTCCGCCCGGCTCTCCGCGCAGCCGTGGGATCTCGGAGGAGGGCGTCCATTAGGCCGCGTGTGACCATGTATGGTAAACAGGGGGCTCATGAAGTCACTGAGGACCAATGGGAAGCGTGGAGCAGGGCCTGGGGCGGGGCTTGGCCCTGGCGGCGGGCGCGGATTGGCACGCTGCGAATCTCCCTGCTGCCTTACAAGGCGGTGCGAGGCGAGCTATTTTTAGAGGGCTATATAAGGGGGCTGAAGAGGCCGTGCGGCGCCCGGGGAGCGCGAGCGCGAGGGATTGGGAGGGTCGCGGCGACACTTGCACCGGCTCCCGGTACGCTGAGGCGACTGGGCTCGGGCCGCACACCGGCCTCCGACCTTCGCTTGGGTGCCAGGTGGAGCCCCAGGCGGCCGGAGCCTGCGCCCCTCAGAGGGGAGAGGGTCGCGTATCGCCGTTCTGGCGTGGACGCGGCCGGTTAGGAGGTGAAAGTCCAGAATGCGGGGTCAGGATGCCTCCCGGAGGAAGAGCGAGGCGGGAGGACGAGGAAGCCGGCATGGGGAGGAGGGCAGGTCACTTCCCACTCCGCCTCCCTTCTAGGCCCGAGGGCAGGGAACCGCGAGGGCGGGGCAGCGCAAACGAGTTCCTCACTTCCTCAGAAATAAACCGGGGGGTTGGGAGGAGGGCGGAAGAAAGAAAAAGTCACCAAAAGCCCCTTCACGAATTCCCCACAGGCTGCCAGGGTGCCGAGAAGAAGCGCCAGAGGAGGAAGCGCCACACAATGGAGCAGAACAAAGGGGAATGCGCGAAAACAGCGGCGGGGGCCCGCCTTGCGCGCCTCGCGCAGGCCCCGCCCCCAGCCCCGCCGGCGCCCCAGTGCGTGCCGCCGCGCCCCGCCCCACCCCGCCCGCCCAGCCTTCTGAGCCGACGCCGGGGACCGGGCGGGGGTCAGCCTCGCACTTAGAGTTGATTGGAACTGGACGTTTTGCTGGGGAGTGTGTTAAAGACAATAGAGGGAATCCTTGTAGACGTGGGGTGCAGGCAGGAGCCGGCAACTTGCTTGGGGGCTTAAACGTGAGACTTCCCATGCGGCTTGGAGAGAGGGTGTCCGTCTGCCTAGCTGCGGTGGTGAGAGGAGGACCTGAATTGCGCTATGGCGCTGACATATAGAGATGTATAGATAGAGAGCCTATTATCTCTTAGCTGAACTACGCACGTTGTGAGGGTTGACCGGTTGTTTGCTTGACCTTAAATGGTTAGTGTGGTTAAAGCTTCCCCAAAATGCAGTGTGAGCTGAACTTCCACTTTTGGAATGATTGCAGAATTTGGTACTTATTCTGAAATGAGAAACTTAAATTCAACTCATAATGGAAGAAACACATCCACCTTAATCGCCCTTCTCAGCTGTCTCTCCTTCTGACTATGTGGGACTCCATATCACAATATTTCGAAAGTTCTACTTTATAGAACAAACACAGTTTGAAGTTCAGTATTTGCCAGGGGAAATTAAACGGGAATTATTGAGTTGAGGAAAGTCTAGTTTATTTGCTTTTTGATGTCTGGAATTCTGTTGGTCAGATCTCCAGCATCCAGTGTATAATTGGTGAATGTACTGTAAGTGTGTGTGCATGGAATGTACAAGGATCTTGGTACATTTAGCATTATGTATTATACGCATTCGTGGTGCTAGGGGATAAATGGTATGAAAAGGGTAAAAGTCCTACACGAATAAAGTGATATTATGATAGCACACATATAAGTGCCAGTATGAGAAGTCTGCGTGGGCCTTTCCCAGAAGTAGAAAACCATTTAGAGCCATCACATACCAATTAATGCATTAACTTGATCTTGATGGCCATTGATACTGCCACTTACTACTGTGTGACTTTGAGCAAATTACTGGCTCAAACCCTCTGGCTACCCTTCTCAGACACAGGAAAAGTGGTATCTGCCTTGCCTGATTGTTATGAACAATCAAAATGTTATAATGTTTGTTAACTCACCTAGCATAGTGTATCTGGTGCTAATAGGTGAATACTAAATGTTAGCCATCATTGTCTCCTGACTTTAGCTGAGTAAATTAAATAATATCTGAACCCATCAGACTTGTAGGGGGATATACCAGTCTTAGAGAAGAAGAATGTAGAAACCTCTTGCCAGTTTGGAATAAGGTCTGCCCCTGCAACCCAACATGCTATCCTGATTGTGTGTGGGGATGGGGAAGAGATCACTGACAAGTACTGGGGCAGAAGACATGTTCAGGAGTAATAGGGGAGGGAAAGGATCTTTGGCTCAGCGGCCATGGCTCACGGGCCCAGCCGCTCCGCGGCATGTGGGATCTTCCCAGACCGGGGCACGAGCCCGTGTCCCCTGCATCGGCAGGCGGACTCTCAACCACTGCGCCACCAGGGAAGCCTGGACCTTTTTTTTTTTTTTTTTTTTGAATTTTATTTTATTTATTCTGTTATACAGCAGGTTCTTATTAGTTATCTATTTTATACGTGTTAGTGTATATATGTCAATCCCAGTCTCCCAAATCATCTCACCACCACCTAGGGGAGGGAAAGGATCTTAAACGTAGGAAACACAAGAGGCAAAAAGCAAGGCAAGACCAAAGAACATAATTTGTTTGAGACTCAACTGAACTTGTTTTTTGTTTTCTTTGTGTTACACTATTACCATTTTCAACAAATTATGACATACCTGTTAACTTTGAGGATTTTAAGCACAATGTGCCAAGCTGTATGGGCACATAAACATTTTCTATGCTGTGTCTTATTTCATCCTCATGGCAGCCCCAGCGTAGGTATTTTTATTATCCCCAACTTCATGGATAAAGATACCCAGGCTTGGAAATACTAAGTTGGTCAAGGTCACACAACCAGGAAGCAGCCAAACAGAGGTTCAAATCCAGGACCACCTGACTTCCAAGACTGTGCTCTGCATGGGGCTCTCTGCAAGGTGAAAGACTTGAGTTTCTTGGCTTTAAGTCAAGACTTGTTTATAAAAATTGCTTGGGTGTGGAGAGGGAGACTTCCATTGAGGTTTTTCACATGTAAATATCAGCCATCCAACTTATAGAAGAACTCAACCAAAATTTTACAATGTAAATCCTAAAAACCTCATTATGAGTTTTTTCAAAGCTTTATAGATTAGAGATCTAAGAGATTTATGTAACAAGGCGCTCCTAAAGGCATATTTTCAGTATTAGTCATATTTAGCTACTTTTAATAGCCTAGAGACCCTAGGTTCACATTGCAAAGCACATGGAAAGAATCCGAATGTACAAAATAATCAACAAATTAAGATCACAAGGGAAATTTGGCAGCCAAGCAAACCAAAAATAAAGAGCACTGCTACAACTACTGCATACCGAATGCTTTCTCTGTACCTGGCATTTTACACATGTTCACATCTAATCTTCACCACAATCTTGTGAGGGAGCTATTACTGCTCCATTTTCACAGATGAAGATACCAAAGTTCAGAGTGGGCACATAATTTGCCCATTGTCATATGTCTCTTAAGTGGCAAAAGCAGATTCAAATATAGGTCTGGCTCCAGGTTGACTCCAAAGTCTATGTCCTCTACATGGGTTGCCTTAGAAGATACTGATGATACTTTTTAAAGTATCACCCTTTGGAAGTGATCCTGTAGGAAACACCTAAGAGTAAATAACAAGTTACCCACCAAGAACTGAGAAATGAGGATATTTTATAGACAAAATAGTAAAAATTCAATATGCAAATAGAAACAATCAAGACATCAGACTGTTACTACTAGAAAAGTTCTGTGTCATTAGTACAGAAAGTCCTTAATATCCTATTGTGATTAGCACTGGGAAAGCCTCAAAGTAAATCTACTTAAAACACGGACCAAATTTCAGAGCAGTTAGTGAAAAAAGGTTTGCTGGGGACTTGTCTTGAAAATAAAACTCAACATTTTTAAAACACATTTATTCTATCCTACATTGAACAAAATTGATAAGTACAACCATGTGCTAATTATAGAATGAATAAATAATAAATCAAGATGATTATTGTTGGCTTAAATTTTTCCTAAGCATTGTGAAGCACCTTACAACATGCTTTATTTCATATTTGACTTTCAGAGAATAATAAAAAAGAGGGTCACTTTTTGTAAAAATGTTTCAGAGTTTCTTCAGTTTTCCCAAGGGTCTCAATTAGTTCTTTGATGTTCAAACTATTCTCTTCTGAAGTATCAATATAGTCATCAGCCCAGTTGATTTTACCTTCATGTGTTTAACTCCATGGATCCTCATGTGCCAGTTTTACCAACCTCACTTTCACTGACCTTACACCTTTTGCAAGATTTGCAATAGAACTGAATGTGTTTGCATTGTGCTGTAAATGTTCACCATCATTGTGTGTGTGTGGGGGGGGGGGAGGTGTTTAAAAGAGGTGTTTGAATGGAGTATTAATTTATAAGTGGCCATATCATTAATAATACTTTCATATACCATTGACTTTTGCTTCTCTTTACAATCTTACTATAGTGGAACAAAGTGTGAGCTTAGGCAGCAGGCTTTGTTTGTATCAGAGAAAATAAGAGTGACAAGGAGATGGAGATGGAGATGCCAAAGAATGCCAAAGACTCTCTGAGAGACAGTTTGAATCTGAAAGGAAATGTATGTGGCCATACATACAATGACATGCATACATACATACATACAACCAGAGAGTTATTTCATGATTGAAAAAAAAATGGCAGCTTCCTCAGGCCTCTCATGTCCTGGACAAAATATTCCTTGAGGATACACATCTCTTCTTGTTTTCATTCTCTACTTACTTTCAGCTCATAATTTGGCTTCCCACTTGTTCTGCCTGCAGGGAAAGAATGTGCTGGTTACAACCACAGGAGCCTGGTGGTCATTGTGACAGTTCTGGTTGTTT